AGAGAGAAAATTGGAGTTGAGTCATCCTTTTTTCACTCAGGGATAAAGCTTTGAGATCACTATGAGTGATCAAAATCTACTCATTGGTAGTAGCTAATTTTTCTCCTAGCGCATGCAATTTTATTACACAGAACACACTTGGAATGTTACACAATAGTTACTTTTCTTGGATTTTCAACATGAGAACCTGGTGGGGTTCCAGTTTATTACACGAGCAACTTCTTCAAGCAAGCACATCTCATCTATGATTTTCTTTATTTTACTATCTCTCCAGATTCTACAATGGTTATTTTGCACTAAAATCTCAATTTTTTGATAAGTGTAAGCAAAACTGTTGATTTTCAGTTCATTTACTTTCTCGTCTGATGGATGAAAGTAGTGCAATCCAAGCCCTATAGATGTTATAGAAGTCACCTGGACATAATTGTTAATTTCACAATATTAAATATCTAGGTTTGTGCTTGAAACCTTACAGTAATAATACATTTAACTTTATAAGAAAAATTCAAACTATTTTCCAAAGTGGCTTTACAATTTCACATTCCCACAAGCAATGGATGAGAATTTCTGTTGTTCCACATCATTTCTTTGCCAGCATTTAAAATATATATATATCAGGATTTTTGTTTTTGTTTGTTGTAGCCATTCCTCTTGCTAAATGTCCTTTAAGCATTTGGTGTTTTCAGGTTGTTTTTATTGTTTAATTACATTTCATTTTAGTCAATCCATTAGGTGTATGGTGGTATTTCATGATTGATTTAATTTGCATTCCCCTAAACAATGATGCTATTAAGCATCTTTTTGTATGTTTATTTTCCTTATGTATGTCCACTTTTGTGAAGTATCTGTTCAGATCTTGTGCTCTCTTTTGAATTGGGCTGTATTTTCTTATTTTTAACTGAAATTATTCATATATCCTTGATATAATTCATCATACTTGTGATTTGTAAATAGTTTCTGTCTGTAGCCTATCTAGTCTTTCTGCTAAATGTGTCATTTACAAAGCAAAAGCCCAATTTCTTAGTTTTTGTTTTGTATTTGAGTGGTTTTTCTTTTGACATCATTTCTAAAAACTTACATCAAAGTCTTGGAAACGGATCTGCAGATTATTCTCTGTATTTTCTTCCAGAAGTTTTCTTTTACATTTCACAATAGGTTTATGATGGATTTTAAGTTATATTTTAGATAAGATAGAACTTTGTATTGAGATGTGTTTGTATACATAAGTGCTTCTACCTGTTTCCAATATCCTTAGATGAGAAGACAATCCTTTCTACATTGAGTTGTTTTTTCACCCTCATAAAATCCAGTTGACTATCTTAATTTTGGTGAATTTTCGCTACCTATTCTGTTTTTTGGAGGAGCCCTGGTGGCATAGTGGTTATGAGTGGGGCTCTAACTGTAAGATTCCCCCGGCTGCTGTGTGAGAGAATGACAGGACTTTCTACTACCATAGAGTTAAAGTCTCAGAAACTCACAGGGGCAGTTATAACCTGTCCTAAAGGATCGCCATGGGTCGGTATCCACTTGATGGCGGTAAGTTTGGTTTGGAGTTTGGGTAGTCTGTTTTCAAATGATTTCTAGTGGTTCTTTGGGCTAGGCTTTTGGCAGCTAACTTTCAGGTAGGTGGTTCAAACCCGTAAATACCTTCTGATAAGAACCATGAGGCCCTACATAAGGTTGCTATGTGTCAAAATTCTATTTTATTAATATATTTGTCTAATTCTCAGAATGCCATGGTGTACTGATTATTTGGGCATTTTCAGGGATATACCTTTATGTAGCATGAGTACTCCATTTTTCGTCCCCTCAAAGACACCATCATCCAGTCAATTCCGAATCATAGAGACCAAATAGGGTTTATTATTTTTTTCTTTTCATTTTCTACCAAAACAAAACACAAAAGCAAGAAACTTCTTGATATTTTCATGGAGATTTTATTTAATATGTAGATAAAAATCTGGAGAATTGCTATGTTGCTAAGTTTTCAAATTCATGAAAACTGTCTACCTCTATTCATTTACATATTCATTTGCTTCTTTCATCAGTGCTTTTTAGTTTACTGCATACAGGAAAGGGGTACACTAGGGTTGTATCCTTTGATATACCTTTTTCAATTTGCATGCTGAGCAAATAATCCAAAAACCTTGACTTTATGAAGAGCATAAGTGTTTGGAGTAAGGCTTATTAACAGCCAGCAATATGTAGATGACACAACAGTGTTTGCTAAAATCAAGAAGGACTTGATGTAAATGCTCATGAAAGTTAAAGACAGAAGCCTTCAGTATGGATTAAAACAATAGAAAGAAAACTAAATTCCTCACACTTGACCAATAAGCAATATCATGATGAAAGTAGAAAGATGGAAGTTGGCAAGAATTTCATTTCACTTGGGCTCACAATCAATACTTATGGAAGCGGCAGTTACGAAATCAACAGTATTATTACATTGTGAAAATGCTGTGCTAGACCTCTTTAAAGTGTTGAAGAGCAAAAGAGTCACTTTGAGGACTAAAGTGCACCTGAGCCCAGCCATGATATTTTCATGCATGTAACATGAACAATGAATAAAGAAAACAAAAGAAGAATTGATGTATCTGATTTATGATGTTGGAGAAAAATATTGAAAGTATCATGAACTGCTAGCAGAACAGCAAATCTGTCTTGGAAGAAGTACAGCCAAAATAATCCTTGAGACAAGATTGGACATATTTCATCTCACTTTTAGACATGTTATCAGAAAAGACAAGTCCTGAAAAAGGATTTCATGCTTGGTAAAGTGGAGGGTCAGCAAAAATGATGAAGACCCATGAGACAGATTGACACAGTGGCTGCAACAATGGGCTCAAACATGACAACAACTGTGAGGATGAGGCAGGACCTGTCAGTGTTTCCTTCTGCTGTATGTAGAGTCACTATGAGTTGGAATCAACTTAAAAGTGCTTACCGTCAGCAGCAGCATACAGGGCATACTCCATTTATTTTATATCTACACATTTCAGTTTGTGTGCAATTTGAAATGATATCACCTTTTCGTAGTTGATATGTAGGAATTAAATTATCTGTTTACATCTTCTCCAAAACTATATTTGCTGATCTTTTCTCTGATCCTTTTACTGTGGCAGCATATTGTATTAGGTTCCTATTGATTACTAATAAATTACCAAAACTTATGGCCCCAAGCAACACAAACCTGTTATCTAAAAGATCTGGAGGAAAAAGTTAAAAATAGGCTTGCAGGGCTCCATTCTCTTAGGAAACTCAAGAGGAGAATCTGGTTCTTGGGTGTCACAAAGGGTTTATGCACACATATTAACCTACAAGTTAGCTATCCAAGCCCACACAGAAACGCCACAAAAGAAAGGCCTAGTGATCTGTCCCTGCAATGATTACAGTCAAGATGTCAATAGATTCCAATGTGATCTATAGATTTGGTGCTATTCTTATCAAAATCCCAGCAGCCTTCAATACAGAAATGGAAAAAACAAACCTCAACTTTCCGTGAAATGGCAAAAGATTCTGAATAGTTAAAAGGACTTTGAAAGAGAATAGTAACTAGGAAAACTCACACTTTCTGAATACTCATAATTATTGGTTTTTAAAGGACATTCACAAGTAACAAGTGCTGAGAATACAATTATTTAGACAAGACCGCCTCTTTTCATTCATGTCCATAGGCTCTGTTCTTTGGCCTCTCAGCCATATGGTCCAATAGACTCTGCTTTTCTGTTCAATGTTACAGTAATAAGGGGTCTCAGAGTTCAAAGGACATACCCTATTTTGGGATCGTCTCTATTGCCAATAGGGAAATACCTCACTTCCTGTTTCTTTCTGCTAGTTTGTTTTAGCGCCACAATTAAGTTAAAGATCAAGAAGAGAATGTAGTGTTGTCCGACTGGGACTAGGGACTCATTTACACAAGGTGTATTGCTATGTCTAAGGAAGTATTATAACTTTACTCCCTGTATGTTCCACCACATTCATGGATATATCTGCAGCAAAGATAAATACCTCTGCAAAACCATTCAGGTCCACCAGAATGTTAAACCTCCTCCCTCACTGTTGGAAACCCCTAGTGGAGACTCGGGTTCTTCAACCCCAGGTGGTTTTGCTCTCTAGGCCCACTGACAAGGAAACCCTGCCCTCACAAATTCGGATAGTAGACTCATTCTTCGGGCCCATCTGAATAGCAGCTCTACCCTGCAGAATCAAAGTGGTGGCAACTAAACATTTTGAAACTTAGAATGCACTTTGAATTCTAGTCAGCCATGTCATGCATATTTCTTCTGACAGTACTTCTAAAAAGATATTCTCACCCGTGTAGCTCCAGTGATCCATTTCTTGCTTGTGGAATTTTCTTCATCTCATCTTGTCCCTGGCTCTTTCTGCCTAAGCTGAAAGGATTTCTGCTGAGGTGGTTGTTAGATATATCAGTCAGGAAAAAATCTATATAGCCAAAACCTTTTAAAACATTTCCTGGACACATTTCCTTAATTTTTATAACAGAATTTTCCAGATCATCACATTTTCAAAGTTTATTCTTAATTCTTTTTCTTCCCACATTTAACTGTAGCAGGAAGAAAATATTACATTGCTCACTTAAGATCTTGCTTAGACATCTCCTTAGTCAAATAATCATGTTCAACACTTCACAAATTCTTCCTGCCACCAAACATTCAAGCATTACTAAAGAATACTTTGCCGCTTCCGGTCGTCCCCGTCGCTGCTCCTGCTGCTGCTGCTGGGGCTGGAGCTGCGGGC